TTATGTCCACCTGGTAATAGAGAAGAGCAGAACAAAGGCCTACCATTTCTACCCCTCTGTGATGAGAGAAGCCGTATCATGTAAATTGGGATAATTTGGTTGAATGAAGTCTCATCACAAGTTTTTGAGCTGTATCAGCTTCATGGCTCTGCTTTTATTGGAGTCTTTATTTTTTTTGCTCTATATCAGTTTTGAATGTGTATATCCAACACATCCTTAATTCTCCCTTGTTTCTCACTCCCTGTATTCTGGAATAACAACATAAGTGCTATTCTAGGTCAGACCAATGGTCCATCTAGCCTAGCCTGTCTCCAATAGTGGCAGAAATAGATGCTATAAGGGGAAAGCATTGAACCAGATATCTCTAGAGTGATCCATCTCCTATTCGATATTCTTCCTGGCATCCACCATTACTGCTTTAGGCATGCCAAAGGAAACATCTCCAATCATTCTGCTCAATAGCCATGAGTAGATCCATGCATTTATCCAGTCCCTTCTTCATAGATTCATAGATTGTAAGGCTGGAAGGGGCCTTGGAAGATCATTGGGTCCAGCCCCCACACCAAGCAAGAAAGATCAGGTGACCCCAGCAAGGTGACTGTCCAGTCTCCTCTTAAAGATTTTCAGGGTAGGTGATTGTACCACCTCTGGAGGGAGCTTAAGATGGGTGTTATGTTGGCAGCCTGCCAGTCCTCTGGCACAAAAGCCTCTTGTAATGAGAGGTTACGTTAGCAGTGGGCAAAATGTGGCCCACGGGCTGGATGCGGCCCACCAGGCCATTCTGTCTGGCCTGTGGCACCCTTAAAAAATTAGAAAATTAATATTTATCTGCTGTGGGCTGCCTGTCATGTGGCCCTCGATGGCTTGCCAAAACTCATTAAGCAGCCCTCCGCCCAAAATAATTGCCTGCCCTGGGTTACATACTATTGCTTGAAATTCTGCAATTTCATGTTTGAGTTCCATGCAGTCTTTATGACTCAATCTCTGGTTTATTGATTTGTTCTAAAACTTCCTGTGTTGTCACTTCAGTGGGGTCCAACTCTTCAGACCCATCTACTAGAATGAATTGATCAGGCATAAGAATTTTCCCAGTATCTTCTGCAGTAAACACCAAGGCAAAGTATTCGCTTAGCTCCTCTCTTCTAGCCTTGTCCCAGAGTGCATCTTTTACACGTTGGTGGTCTAGTAGTCCCACCAATTCTGTAGCTGGCTTTCTGCTTCTGATATATTTTTAAAGCTTTTATTATTAACTTTAGCACCTTTTGGTAGATGCTCCCCAACCTGTTTTTGGTACCCTTTTTGATTTGTTGTATATGCTTTTCTTGAGCCTCTAATATCGTATTTTTAAACAGCTTTCTAGCTATTTTTTTACATATTTGACAACTCCTTTAAACCTCTTTCTAACTTCCTCATTTTTGTGTGATTTTCATTCCTAATGTTGTATATTGATGTAGTGGACTTTTTTGGTTTACTCCTTCCCATCAGAACGTTTCATGTGATTGTTATGGTCGGTGTTACAGTGGCTCACCAGCAGTGAACCAGGTCCTGTATGTTACTCGGGATTAGGTCTAGAATTGTTTCTCCTCTTGTTGGATCCAAGATGAGTTGCTCTAGAAAGCAGTCATTTATCACACACAGAAATTTTATCTCCGCGTCTTGCCCTGATGAGGTGTTTACCCAGTCTGTGTGAGGATAGCTGAAGTCTCTTATTATTATTGCTTGTCCTATTTTAGTAGCTTCTGTAATCTTCCTGAAGTTGCAGTAAGCACCTTCACCTTCTTGATCACATGGTTGGTAATGCAATCCTACTTCTTATTCAAGTAAAGATTTTCTACCCAAAGGGAATTTTGTGTTATTTTTCCTTTCAGGTAAGATTGTTATGTTGTTTTTATCTATACTAACCTTAAAATACAGTGCCACTCATCCACCTACACGTCCTACTCTGTCATGCCTATATAGTGTGTAACTTGACAGATTGATTATTGTCCTTCCATCAAGTCTCTGAGATGCCTATTATGTTGTCACCATTTAATACCAGGCATTCTGGTTCACCCATGTATTGCCATAGGGCGTGTGTAGATGAAATGGGGGCCCTAAATTGAAGGGGTGGGTTTTTAAAAACACCCCTTCAATTTAGGGCCAAGTAAACCTCTGTGTCGTGTACACACCCGTGCACTTACCTGCCTTGCCGGTGGCAGGGAGGGGAGGGCAAGCTGCCAGCAGGCGGAGCAGTCCCTGGGCTGCGGTGGGGGGGACCTGGTGCTTCCTTCCACAGAAGCAGCAGTCCTCCCTGCCCAGGTGGCACCTGCCCGCAGACACCCAGCTTGGGCAGTCCCAGAGGGCACTGCAGCTGTAGAGGGAAGCATTGGGCCCCCACACAGCTCAGGAAGGCAGGTTCCAGGGGGAAAAATGATCAGGCTCACTGCTTTTTTTCTTGGGTGGAGCCTGCCTTCCTGAGCTGCTGCCAGGCTGCCTGCACAGGCTTCCTACAGAGCCCCTGAGCTGCATGGAGCCTGGAGCTTTGCTCCGTGGCTGTAGGGCAGCAAACTAAAACTCCTCAGAGTTTTAGTTTGCTGTGCCCCAAGTCATTTAAGGTGCATTACGCCGCCAAATTTGCTATAGTGGCTGGAATTATTGTGCAATACGTCACCAACACATGCAAACACCAAGACCATTAAAGTGGTGTAAAAGCATTTAACCCACTTTACAGTGTTGTGCACACATGCCCCTCATTTCATCTACACACAGCCATAGATAGTTTCCCTTCTGGGATGACTCTTGACACATCAAGGTAATTTTTTTTGGACTTCTGTAAAGGCTTAATTTCTTGCTCTAGGCATTTTCTTATTGCTTTATTTCTTATTTTTGTAATCTTGAGACTCATCCAGCAAATTTCTGCAGTTAAGATCTTTAATTTACTTTTCTCACACTCCAGGATCCCAGTCTGGGTGGTTATAACAGTAGTCTCCCTTATACTGTGATTTTCATTTGTTCTGAGAGATTTTAGTTTTGCAAATCTTTCCATGTTTTCTGAATTCAGCAGAAGCTGATCCAACTGCTCTTCATCTTGCCTGTTTCTCAGTATTGATCCTCCAAAGTAGACACATTTTTCCACCTTGTTCTGGTCCTTCACTTCTAAGTTTGATCTTTGTCTTTCTCTTGCTTGCCAATTACTTTGATTTTTGTCTTCTCTATGTTGACCTGCAATGTGAATTTTCGGCTCCCCTGTTCCTAACTTGTTTGTCCCTTTGAATATTAACATTGTTCTGATTCCTTTAGTTCCTGGTGTACTTAGTGATACATTAGTCTTGTCCGTGCCAGCAGCTGGATCACATAATGCAGTGATCAGTTGGGTGACTTTCAATCTGTTTTTTGTGGGTAGCTTTTCATGGTTTCACAGAGAAAGCCTTTCCTCGTTTTGACTTGTTTCAGAGTAGGCGCATGTTATGTTTGCTATTTCAAGAGGAGCTTGACTTAGTATAGGAGGTGCTTTTTCAAAAATGTCCTTAAGAATCACTCAGTGCTGTTTGTATCTTGCCTCAGTCAGCTTCCCAAGAATCAGACTTCCCTTGTAAAAGTCAGTGAATTGCTATTGCAAAGCAAAGTAGTCCTGGCATCCCTGGACCGGAGGTATCGTATTAGCTTTTGGTTGCTATTACAAAGACTCATTCTTCCTTGCTGGGCTAATTAGCTCATTTTTTTGTGGATGCAGATTTTGATTTTGAATTGGCACTGTAAGGAGGGATTGAGGCTTCAAGGAGCTGAAACCCAGCTGTTGGTAGGCAACAGTTTATAGTCTGATTAGTCTGAAGGCTGGGAGCAAGCTGCAAATGGTGATTAGTAAATGAGGGTAGAGCCACAGGGAAGGCTAAGAGCTCAGGAGCAGAGTGGAAGGGGAGAGGAGATAGAAGGCTGCGATGCCGAGGGAGAAGCACAGAGCCTGGGTTGTTTCTCAAGGTCCGAAGGAAGGCAGCAAGTTTGTTTTGTTTACTGTAGGGACAAGGCTGCCCCATGTAAAATAGTGTGTTTATAAATGCCAGTCCCTTCTGGGTTGAAGGTTTCCAAAGAAGCTGGATGAGTAACCTGCTTACAGGCACTTCCTGGCATAACAAGGGCAAGGGTCAGTTTTGAGAAATGTCTAAAATAACAGGCAGGAAACTGCTCATGCAAGGATATTCAGTGCTAATGAAATAGCCCACTGGTACCCAGAGCCCTTACAAAAAGGTGTTGCTTGTGACCGTGGTACAGCAACTGGCTGGTCTAACCCAGGATCTTCCAGCAAATCCCAGAAAAGGTAGTGGCTTCCCACCCCTACTCCACTGTTTATTCACAGAAGAATTTGTGAAGCTTCAGCCAAGAGACGAGAAGCCACAGCCATCTGAAGAATGAGCTTTACGCTACGGGCAGGAGGGGCAGTGCTGTGTCAAATGCATTTGCTGCTATTTTGTTGATGGGCAGGACTAGACCATGTTTCTGCTCTTTGATTTGCAGCAAAGTGGTTTGTGCTCAGATTTGAAATGGACTCCCACAACCCATCAAAATGAAGAAAAAAATGCAAATGTGGAGTCAGTGGACATGAGCCAAAGGACAAGACTATAATGTAAAGTTGCAGTCTTGCAGTGCGTAGCAGACTGCTGGCTTGTAGGAGCTGAGAGCAGGCTGCAGCAGGGTGTACAGCCCAGCTCCAGGCAGTAGGCACTGATTGCAGGCTGCCTAGGAGGTCTGGGCAAGCTGCGAGAGATAATTAGTGAGCCACAGGAAGCTAAGAGACCCCCCAGAAAAGGGAGCTAGGAGCGAGATTTCCTCGTAGAGGAGCCAGAGAACAGAGTTAAATTCCTGGGTAAAAGAGAGCCAGAGCCACAGAGCCAGAGGTGTGGGGTCTGGGAGAAGACTCAGGGCTCCAAGATGGGAAGCAGCAGAACCACATCATGGACCTGAGTCAAAGACAGCCCGAGAAGGAAGACTGTAGTGCAAGGCAGCAGCAGGAAGCTGGACTCATCTTCTCAGACCTGGGAGGACTCAAGACTGTGAGTGCACCCTGTATGAACTATGTTAAGGTTGTGTTATGGTTCTGACATACATTTGTGATGTTTCCTGAGAGGCAAGTGTGCCTAGGAAATAAAGAACTGGGTGAAGTTTAAAGACTGTTTGAGCTAAGGCTAAGCGATCACACTAAACCTGCTACACACTGGTTCTACAAGCGCCACAGCTATCTAGTTTGCTCTCTAGTGTAGTGCAGGCCAGAGAACTTCACCAGTGTTTCTTTCTGTGGAGATGAATTCCACCCCTCACCCCCAACTTGAAAATGATGATTTAGGGGAAAGGCTGTCAACTGGCAAAAACTTGGGAAAATGTACTGGGATGTGTGGCTACTTTTAATGGCTCGGCTGCAGATTTGATGGATGTTAGTGATTGTCAGACTGACTCAGTTTACCATCTTTGGAAAAGGGTTAGTGGTGCTTATTTGCTCTGTTGGAACCACACAGTATTTTGAGACCCTTGAATAGAAGGAATTCTAGACAAACATGTTATGAAGTATTAATGTATTAAAGGAGGAAGAAGAATCCTAGAAGACCAGTGTGAAATACTAGCAGGAGGAAGTGGATCAGTGGCTGGGAATCCTGCAACTTGTTTAAATGTCTCTATTGGGTTTAGTGTTCCTGATCCAAGGAGGTGAGAGGAAAGGGGGTAGCAAACGGTTATTCCTTTGTAGCCACAAGCCAGAACATTCGGTAGGATCAAAAGTGTGTGTTTGTGTCCTTTGGGGAAGGAGAGAAACCAAACTGTGTGGCATGAAGCTCTGGACTGCTAAGGAAAGGGCATACCAAAGTGGGGGGCGGGAGCAAATTCAGTTGTCTAGTTTTGGAAATCTTGAGAACAGCAGCTAAGATGTTATGTAGGAGTAGGGTGGACTGGAGTCCTGAAGGCAGCAAACTGCCACACTGGGATGTTACATGAGACTGTAAAAATGCACTGTTACCTCTCCTTGGTCCCGGCTTCCAACTGCTGAAGTGCTGTAATAACTGCTTGCCGCTTGTCTGGAAATAGCTGCATGTTTCCTCATTCTGGATCTCAGGGTAATTTATATCTGTGTACAAAGCTGTTGTAAAAGTGTCCAGACCCCAATATAAGAGGCAAGATGGAGCTAGCTGCACTGGAACAGAAGCCAAGTTGCCCAAGTGGCTGCTTTTGGGGGATGACCAGCTTAAGGTTTGTCTAGGCCGGGGGTACAGCCCACAAGGCAGATCTGACCCATGGCTTTCACTGCATACAGTATGCAGAGCTGGCCTGGCACTTGGGCCCACGCTGGACTGCTCCATGCCCTCCCACCTGAAACTGTGGGGATTACAGGCACACACATTACAGAAGGGAAAGGTGAACAAAGATCACGAAGGGGTCAGAACTCACTGTGACCTTGTTCTGAGTTTGTACAGGCCCTGTCACAATAGGGCCCTGGTCTGTGACATGTTATAGGCATTACTGCAATACACATGATTTAAAAAAAAAAGAGTGGACAGCCAGGGTGATTCCATTAACCAACTGGAAATGACAGAGGGAACAGGCAGGTCTTTAAGTTAGGAATCATAATGCATCTTACCAAGCCCCTTCCTAGCCCCAGTGTGTTGGCAGGGGTCTCTTGCCACAATACATCCCTATGATTCCTGAACTGGCCAGTAGTTAAGCTAAACCTTAAGGCTTGTCTTGGTTTCACAGCCCTGGATGAGGAAGAGTTGCATCATCTGGCAGGTGTTACGAATACCATCCCATGGAAATGCTTCCTGTAGCCGGAAAGGCTGTCAGTGATCGAGAAAGCAGGATTCCAGGAAGTGCATGGTAAGTGAATGCTTCTGAAAGGTTATATTAGAGTGATGTTGTAGCTGTGATGGTCTAGGAATTTTATGACAGGCAAGGATTCCTTTGATGATATGTCTTATTGGACTAGTTTCATGATTGGGACAAGCTTTCGAATGCCTGTCTTTAAGTGGCCTGAAGTAGAACGTCTTGCATTCTTACACTGGCCAGCTCCATCCTAACTAAGGATGTGGCTTGTCCGATAAAAGATCTCGCCCAAAGAAATCCTTGCCTCTGAAAAATTACTCACTTTAATGCTTTGAGTGAGAGGAGCTCCTATCGGAACTCACCACTTCTAAAAGGAAGGCTTGGTTTACAAACACAGCAGCTTATAGTGGCACAGGGCCTGCTTGTTCAAAGTGCTTACAATTCTGGCCCGGACAGCAAGCAGAAGAGAGCTCAGTTTAACTATAGCTGTATGCAAACTCAGTCACGGCACTAAAGCAACTGTGAGCTACAAAGGCCTTCTGGGTAACAGTATGCAAATGAGTAACACCAAGCATATAATTTGGTTTTAACACTTCTGTTTTAATTATAGTTTTCGTGAGGCCCTGTGTCTTCAGTATGATTTAATCAACAATGAGATGGAAGAGGGGTCTCTGCTGGGATGTGTTAATGCTATGTGCAGGTAGTACTTGCCACCATTAGCCTGGGAAACTCTAGGCACGTAATGAGGGGTAGCATAGCATAGTTTGCCAAATGCACTGTATGAGTTGGAAAGAGAAATGGTGGAATTGTTCCTCCCCTTACCAGCAAAAATAAGTTGGCGCTTATGCAATCAACCCTGACACAACCCAATATGTAACATCCTAACCTGTCACAGGCAAAGCAGCAGGACCATAGTGGTCAATACCCTGTTGTTGAAAGGTTGTTAATATGAGCTTGAGAGATCCCAGGAAGACGGCCATGCCCCCTGCTACAGAGGAAGGCAAAAACCCTCATAGGCCATGCCAATCTGAGCACAGGGGCAAGACCAGAAACCTCAGTCACACCCCCGTCAGAGTTCCTAGCCCGGGCTGCAGCCAACACCCAGTGCCTCTGAGGAAGGTTTTAAACCTGACACATGTAGTAGTAGTAGAGCCGAGGGTAAAGAATTCCCTTCCGGCCCCATGCGACAGCCAGCAAAAGTCACAAATAGCCTGATCTGTAAAAGAAGTCAGATAACATACGTCCATCTCTCTAAAGCACTTGAGATCAATGGATAGAGAGCTGTTGCATTATTGCAAATTGGTAGTTTGTTTCTTTTTATTTAAAAATGTGATGGGCTGGGAGAAAATAATTTAGTTCTGTTTCTGTTGTCCTGGGCAGACTATGAAAGTTGGCTGCTTCTCAGATGTAGAAGGAGATGTGATTAAGGTTGCCTAATCCAACAATGACTTGTGATTAGAGACTGCAAACAATTTTGTGGGGTAATGGAAAGGCATCAGGTTAGAGTGTTAGGCTGCTGTTTTAGGTAACACAGTGGCCTGAAACCTTTCATTGGATTAAGACTGAAACTCAAGGGCAAACACCTGACTAGTTTCCATGTGGTTCAATGTGGACAGAACATGAATGTGGAAAGCATAGGTTCATAATTATCAAACATGATTCTGCAGCTAAATGGGCTCTCCATATGCCTGGTGCAACACCAGTGACCTCAAAAGTTACTTTTGTACCATGGACCAAATTAGAGTGATGTGTAGAAAAAGAATGTATTTAGATGTACAATGCAGCATGGGGACTCACCAAAGTCTGGGGAGTATCTTCAGGACTCTATTTATTTTAATTAATTAATTGCTTTTTAAATTCACACCACACTGCAGGCTGCCTGTTCCTGCATAGGTTTGTGAAGTTGATAGGATTTTTACTCTGGGTGTTTTGGTGCTTCAGTCTTATTTCAAAGTTAAAAGCTTTTAAAGATAATAGTTGGAACTAATAACCCTACAATACCAACCACTAGGCTTTTCACTTGACTAAAAAAAAAAAAGATTATTTGTGATAATCAATTTGTGATTATGATGTGCTTGCTTTCATGTGATGGCAGTAATTTCAGGCCTGTATCCCATGCACACATCATTCTTTATCATTCATTCTTGTTTCTGTAAGGTTGCAATACTTTTGTTTAATAAGCAAGCAATTTCAAGCTTCTGCAAGATATGGGAACAACAATGTGGAGACTGGTTAGAAAAGGTTTAGGAATTACTAGTACCCTGAAAATGTCTTTACGTGTAAATATGATTCTGAAATGGACACTTGGTATGAATTGAGCCAGGAAATTTTGAGTCTCATGGCTGGAGTCGCACAGCATGTCTTCATGCCATACATCTGTGCACTCCTGCTTGCCTCTGAGACTGACTTACCTACTTCCAGTAGCTGGAGATTTGACATCTTCTGTCAGTGGGGTAAATGGATATACTTTCTCCTCTGCTTTCTGCTGCACAGGGCAGGCATGGGACAGTGCATAAGTGGAACCGGGGTTACATACAAATTAGTTTGCTTAATGGCATTTTTTAAAAATGTTGCGATCCCTGTCTACAGTTCTTCACATCTGGGCTCCTTCTAGGTACCTGTGCTATCTATCCTTCCTTGGTCAGAACTATTCTTTTGTTCATATTCTAGTAGCATTTGCTTTCTGCAGTCAGATTCACAACCTTTGTGGCTGGACATGCATAGCTTTATCTCAAAGGGGCTGGAGGGGAGGGGGTAGAGTGGGGAATAAAAATAGTGACTATGATTTTAGAGATACAGAAGATACTTGTCATCCCCCAGTACTATGAGAACACTAAAGCATTAGGGTGCAGGTACTGGATGCATTACAGCCAAACTCAGAATTTTAGTTTAATGTGGGTCTGAAATGTAGGTGCAAAAGGTGAAGGAACCTAGGATTTTTGCTTTGGGCCCATTCCTGGGCCCCAGTTGTACAAGTCCATCTGCACAAACGATTCCATATATTTGTGGGGTTGCACAGTCTGTCTGGAGGGTCAGAGCTCTATGTCATATTTTGCTTGGGATGATGTACCAATGGCTCTCAGCTCTGACAGTTGGCACTCTATACACTGGGAATACCCATGCAGTTCTCCCACAACAGGCCTTTAAGGAACGGGAGCAAAACTGATGGGAGAACAGGAACAAAACAACAAATCAGTAACTTTATTTTTCCTGCCTTCCCTGACCTATTTTGCCTTTGGGAAAGCAGATGGTATCCCCCGCTGCTCAGACAAACTTGGGGCAGATTGAGGACAGCAGGTGAGGAAACATGAGGGGATTAAATCCACTCTTTAGGAGTGTTTTGGTGGTAAGAGTTTTTGCACGCATTTTGGCTGCCAAGTGAGACTTGTTGTCTTGCAGCCTGAAAAGATTTCCATCAGCAGAGGGAGCTGCTACACTTCTTTTACGTGCCCTACCAGCAGAAGGTTGAAAAATGGCAACTTTTGGAACAAAGAAAGTGTTCTTGAAAGACTTTTTAAAATGACTTTAAGAATCAGTTATGAAATGTGGAAAGAATTAAAACAACCTGCCAGCTGAAGCCTCTTTTAAAGAGAGAGACTACAACTAGACCTCGAAGCAAAGAAGAATGTGGCGGTGGTGGGGAAGGGCGTACCCTTGCTGTATGTCATGCTTGGCTGTGTCATCTCCTCCTTTTGCTTCTCTGCTGAACAGTAGAGATGACAGACAAAAAAACAATAACTAGCCACTTCTTCCTCCCTGTGCTTTCAGCAATCAAAAGGAGGCTGTAACAGGAGCATGATCTCACCGCACTGATGTTACTGACTGGTATTGGAAAAAGCAAATGAGGCGGATGCCAAATTTGCTCCCATGTAGGTATGGGGGGAGGAAGGGGGAGAGATGAACTTGTTGCGTTGGCCTGTGGAAAAGGCTTTCTGAGCTTCCTTGTTGCTGGAGCATTCAGATTTCAAGAAGCAGCCTTGATTTGTATAAATGCGTCTTATTCAACAATTTCATTCCAAGTGCTGCATCGCTGCTGCGTAGCACAGTCTTAAAGGGCTTCGCTGCCCCTGTTTGTCATAGATCAGGTTGCAAGTCCAGAGGCCCCATCCACCCAAATTCCTCTGTAATCTTTCACTTCAGAGGATTGGCTGGTTGTTTTCCAGGAGCAACACCATGAAAAGAGCCTGTGTCAGCGGGAGCAGATGGAAACCTGCTGTTGTATGGAATAAACATCTAGGATTCCTCCATATTGCCACGGTGGGCTAAGCCCATACCTCATTCCCTTGCCCTTTTTCCAGCCTAGCATCCCTAAATAACATGCTCTTGTGGTTTTTGTGGGCTATATTTCATTTCCTATTTGTTTAACCCACTGATTACAGTGTGTTACAGGGCACTCATCTGTGTACCAAAGAGGAGACTCAGTCTGTTTAGCTGGAGCTAATGAGCATTGTTCTTATTTTTGTTGGTTTGTTTTAAATTCGTGCTGGAGCAGCTGTTGCTTTCAACTTTGGAGGTCCCCCATGCAGTCCCTGCTGTGCTGGTCAGGGTAGCAGCCATCACCTTTGCAAACACTGGTCCTGCACATAAGCATATGCATGAACCTTCACAGGATCAAGCTCCTTGGCCTCTAGCAAAGAACGAGCCTAGTGCCTCCCAATGCAGCCTTCTGTTGCTGTACAAATGGGTAGCTGTGTAGCTTACATTTGTAGACCTACAAATCTATCTTGGCTCAGATTTGAATCTGGGCTCTACTAGGCTGAATGTAGGTGCTCTATCACTTGAAGTAGATCAGTCTTTAACTACTCTTAGTACTAGTGCTATTGGCATTATTTATATAGATTTCCACTGATTGCAGGAAAGGTGTTATGTAGGCAACCCTTCCATCCTGATTTTGATCCTGCATACTGAACACTGCTCCAGTGCTGTTGTCGTGTATGTCTCTGGTGGCCATGGGATAAAGTTGTATTCCACTGCTGCACAGTTCTGCTTGCTCTCTGACCTTCAGTAAGTAGCATTTGGGACAGGAAGTAGAATTTGCCATTTTTTCTGCTCTG